TTTAAATTGAGATGAAAGATTGGAGCTCAAACTGAAATTGTTTTGAAAATGTCACTTAAAATGGTTTGGTTTTGTTCTGCTTCAAGAGGAAAATAAAGATTGAAATCCTGAAATTTCCCATGAGATAGAAATTCAGCCTCCCTTGCAACTTTGCTCATTTGCTTTTAGTTACATGCTATGGTGTATCATTACTGGCCTCATAAAGGAAGTTGTGGCATATTCTCTACATAGGACTGGCATTTCAGTCATGGTAACTATATCCGGATCATGTGAGGAACTAGATTTTTTGTGTCCCATGGTCATGATGTCTTACACTGGTCTTCTTTTATTAAAATGCACAAGAGTATTGATTGATTGCTCTTACAAGTGAACTACTGTTAACTTTTCTAAAATTTTTTTATCACAGGCTGAACAGCATAGGGACTAAAAAGCAGGCACATATTTCTCATTTGTATACACTCAAGGAAAAGCTCCCAAAAATCAACACACAAAGGTTCTGAGGGGGAAAAAAAAGCAAATTTCAAAGCTAGGTGTCCTCCACAGAGGATATTCTGTTCGTATGTTCAGATCAAAGTTCCCGTATAACTTCCACTGCTGGAGTGTCATGTACCAAACAGAGAAGGATGAAGGGAGACCCCAAAACATAAGGATTTACAAATTATTGAGAATATCTGGAATTGCATCTGAAAACAAATTCAGAGAGCATGAAGTTACTTAAACTACCAGTGTAACAGTGCAGTGGTGGTGTGGCCAAACATCCTTCTGTGACTTTCACTTCTGGATGGTCTTTTAGGAGAGATCAAATTGGAACAGGTTAGCATCAAGAGGTGATCTTTTGGTGATGATTCAGATTGAAATTCAGGAGACACAACGTCTAATACTGTTCTGTAACAGCGTAGAGAGAGCCTCTGTGTCCCCAGCACCTCTGAAAGTATGTTGCAAGGAGTGTGCTCACCAATTCTCACTGGAGAATTTGGTCTTAAGGTCTGCACCAGAGTCTGTTTTGAAGTGAAACAGGAAAAATAAAGCTAATGTATTTCATATGAGTGGCATGAAGACCGGTTCAATTAGTGGTTAAATAACATTGGCAAACAAGTAACATACATAGATTCTTACCACCTGAGAATTTATCCTTGAATAATGATTTAGAAGTAAATATTTTATTTTTAACAAATCAGAAAGTCAACCTACGTCCAACTACTTTGTCTTGGGATACTAGATGATGAGATTTAGAAGCATCACAGTGTCTCTGAGATTGTTATCCTCCATCAAAACCAGTATCAGTAAGACGGTAGTACAGGGACCTAGGCACTGGCATTGGAGAACACCTGCGGAAGAGAGAGCTAGGAAGCCCAGGTTGTAGTTCAGACTTTGTTACTGTCTCCTCTGTTAAATTCATGCCAGTTAGTGCATTTTGGAACTTTGCAGAAAAATTGAATCAGCCGCAAATGCTGCATGTATATTTGTCATACAACACAAGCAAGGAGTTTTCTAGACGCTCGGAAGGGATGAGAGCTGTGGCATCTGCCCCTGAACGTGGACCAGATAGTACCACAGCACTTTACAACAGGGGTGCAAGGACTGGGATTAATAACACGTGTAAAGAATGCTCTGGCAACACAAAGCCTTATCAGAACATGCCTGATTATCAAAGCAAAATCATTTTTATGAAAATACCTCTGGTTTGATGCATCCTAATTTAAACCACAGGCATGGTTCTAATGGAAAGTTACCTGCTGGGAAAGATGCCCTTAGAAATCCAGGCTTCCAAGGTTCCCAGCTGCAGGGACAGGATTTCTAGTCAAGCAGGGCAGCCTTGGTTCCCACCGTGCCTGACTCCTAAATAGATGGATCTGAAGTCTTTTAATGCCTTTGCCTTACTATCCTTCCTTTAAAAATGGAGATCTCTGTAAATGATACCTTGCAGGGGAGTTCTGAAGCTTGTAGGGTTTTGGTTTGGTTTGGTTTGGTTTTTCAGTTGGCTGTTTTGATGCTACCAGCTCAAGTATTATTTAAATACATAAGAATATAGAATGCCAGACTAAGCTTGCATATTTTTGCAGAATGAAAAATAGCAGAGAGTGAAAACCTTGCCCCACTCAAATCAATTGGTTTTGCTAGTGACTCTAATGGATTTCCTGAATCTTTTATTGAAAAGAAGCTGATGAAACCTTATTATGGCTCATTGCTATCTTCTAATATAATTTATCAGGTGGTCCACTTGGAAAATGTGGTACCAACTCCTTAGCCAGAACTGGAACGTTCTGGGAGGTTTTGCTAAATTGTTTCAAACATTATGCTCAGCAGTGCATGGTCCAAAATTAGGTTGTCTATGAAATGAATTCATATTAAACGGTTGCCTTAGTACCAAATGAAAATGTGATTCTTCCTCCTCCTTCCCCCCATCCCATTTTCTCATGCATGGTTAAAGTTTCACTTGGGCTAAATCATCTTGGTGGTACATGTAGGGGGAAACAGTTCTTTCATCTCATTTGCTCTTCATGTGTAAATGCCTAATTACTAATCAAAATCCACTCGGACAGTGGGAAAGATGTCTTTATTCAGTCAGAATTATAAAGTAGCAAATTTCCAGAGGAACTAAAAAATATGCAAGTCATGACAAAGTATTGATTGCATAATAATGTGATGTCAACAGCGCAGAATAATCATGTTTGCAGGTGGGAGCTTTACATACATTATACAGCAGAGGTTTTACTGTTGAAATGGAAATATAAATAGAGCAGTATGTACTTCTGGAAAATAAAGCATTATTCACATACTAATACCCATCTTCTACATCAAGATAAAGCATTATGATCTCTCTCCTAGACTGATTAATGAAAAAGGAAAAATACAGTGTTTAGTATTAAATCTGATGCGGATGACATTTAAGGTCATGAAAGGCAATCTTAGTTGTACCGAAATCTTTTAATCTTATTTGCAGATTATTCCATCAGTGGCTCCCTGGAGTTGCAAAAGGATTTCATTCTCATATCTTTATTATTTAATTGAATGTTGAAAGTGTAACATATTGTAAATTGCTCTTAATTTTAAAAAGTACTTTCTTGTCTCAACATCATAGCATTTGGAGAGCTATAGGAGTACTGACTCAGAAAAATACCTGGGTAAATTCAATGGTGGCATTATGAAGTGGTGGATATAATTAGGTAAGGAAATGAGTATAGGGGGTGAAGGACATAATCACACCTACTTGTGATTCAACAGATGTTCAAAAGGACTGTAACTTACACCAATCTCATCTAACAGCTAAATTTGATTTCTGTGTTACATCAGGATGCAATTCCCATTGAAACCAGTAGGTCTAAGTAATTAGGACTACTGAATTCTGTAAGCAGGAATACATTTGGTCCTGTGCAAATGCTGTGGCAAATTAGAGGGGCATTGGTTTGTTTTTCCTTATCATGGTCATTGCTGTTTGTTCAGCATACTGTTTCCTTTCCCTAGTGACGTTTAAGATGTTGCTGTTCTTCATATACACTAAATATCTGCATTCCTTAACCCCCAGCACCTCTTTTATGGATCAGCTCTCACATTAGGCATCTGAATACAAGACAAGGTCCACAGCTGCCTCAGTAGCCAACCCAGGAAAGGCTTCCTGACTGGATTAACACAGCACCAGTACCTAAGGTCCAGTTTGTGTAGGAGCATTTCAGAGCTCACCCAGCCAGCCACCCATTTTCTTCACCACCCAGCCAGGCCAGGTCTGAGCTCCTAGCTTAACCTGGCCTGGATTTAATATTTTCTGAGCCAAGCTGTATCGACAAAGCCAAAACTTTTCTCTCACTATTTTCTGTTCCTGCTTCTCTTTCACCTGGAGGCATACTCCATGGGTTCCTGCGTTAAGGTGAGGAACATATCTGTCCCTCCGAAAAAAAGCAGGTGAAGAGCGGCAAGGACAGGCTATCATCATGTGAGTGGTTATAGCTTGCATACTCATTGAAAGCTGGCAAATCCCACCCCGAAGAAAATCTGGACCTGGTTTCTAATCCACTCCCCTGCACAGGTCAGCCAGTCTGTGTTTAAAGGCTTTTCATGTGGCTTTGAAGATATTTTGGATAGACACTACAAGGATATCGGACAAACTGTTAAAAAGTGATAACAGAAATTCAGTGGTAAGGCTGAGGATGGGTAGACAACACATGTCAGTGAAGAGCCAGGAGAGATGTCCTCTGGGTGGTTATTTTGGCAACCTAGCCTAACTGCTTTCCAGCAGACCCTCTTTCCTGGTCTGATCCCCTCTAGGCGGCAGCAGCTGGTGGGGAAACCACAGTGTGCAAGGCCACTGATGCTGCATTAGCTGAAGCCAGGCAAAACCGCAGGAGCCTTTGACCCCAGTAGAGGCACCTCTAGGACCCCCGGTCCTGGAGACCAGGCCACCTCTCCCTGAAACCCATGGCATTGCACCTTCAAAGGAACCTCATACCGAGTTCTTCTCTCGCTACCTACTTCCACGCATTTCTTGCAGGATAATCTGATTCATTTTTTCCCTTGGTCACTGTATAGCTATCTCTGGTAAGTATTTATACGGCAACAATTGCAAACCACTTGTACACAGGTATTTATAGAGCACCAATCACATGCAGTTGAGCCTAATGACTGATATTAGCTGATGTGTCAAATACAAAATCTTTCTCTGAAAACCGCAGGGTCCAAACAGCTCAGCTAACAAAATAGGTAATGCAAAACATATATGTGGTACTGCCTCCCCTCTCCTATTTTTGACCATTAAAATAAATTATAAGGATCATGAGTACATGAAAATAACGCAGCAGTACTTCCTAACTTACATGCATGTCAATATATCGCAGAGTGTCTTACAACATTTTTTTTGCCTCAGAAGCAAACTCATTGCATGAACTGGCTCTTCAGTGGTAAATTAGGAAGTCTGCACTCAGGCTTAGCGCAAAGGAGCAAGGAGCAGCCTAGCTTTCCCTTTACTGACAGAAGTGCCTGGGTTCACGCAGCAGTAATTACCTTGCCGTGCCCACCAGGCAAGCTAATGTTACCCCCATTCTGTGCATGGGGAAAAGGTGAAGTTAAGTGACCAGCCTTGTGCAGCAGGCAGGCTTTGACACATGGAAAGATTTGCGGGACAGCACTTTCGCCACAAAAATCCATTCTTCCTCTGTGCAGTTTCCTTCTCTTTCTTCCAGTCTCCTTAAGAATTACATAAAATGAAGGTTATTTCTAAGACAATAACTTGTACTGAGTTATACTGGGGTGAGCTATTAAGTGAAGGTATTACTGATATTACACTCCCTTGGAAGTTGAGGCAGGGAAGCAGAAAAGAAGAAGCACCAGAGATATACAGATGTGTAATCCACCCTCTCCCAGGGAACAGAAGGACATACAAATTGTCACACTGGTCCAGGAGAGTTATCTGGCTTATTTATTACCAGTTTGTGGCAGTGGCCGGTATCAGATGCTTTAGAGGAATGTCAGGAGCACTGTGGGTGCTGACTGTAAAATTACCAGCCCATGGTGCAAATTTTTTTCTAACCATAAGCACTTTATGGTTGGTCTATAAACTTCAGGTTTGCCTTCCTTTGCATTTGCACATGTCTTTGTTCCTCTGTAGCCTAACTGTGAGTACAATTTATGGGAGTATTTATAAATTTATCACAAACCTACAAAATGGATTGATGTTACAGCTTGGGAGATTTTGAATTTAGTATAGTGTATTTAGTATACTGCATTATGAAATTGTGCTTTTGACATAAGGTATAAATGCACTTTCTTTGGCAGCATGCAAAAATATATGTAATTGAGCCAGAAATCTCTCACTGTGGGAAAGGTTGCTCTCTTTCAACCACATACACTCTTATACGCCTAACAGAGGAAAATGCATCATAGTTACTTTTATGGATGAAGTTGCAAGCAATTGCTTAGATTCTAAGATGAGGATTTTTGCAAAGAAGTGTGCATGTCTGAACATTAGTTTGAAATCAAGCTCTGTGTGCAGGAGGGGAGAGTAGAGGTATATCATGTAGTTTTCACATCTGCATGGATGTACATGTACACAACTATTATATACACATATAAATACACACATACAGACTGTAGTGCAGTCAGGGAACAGATTCCAACCTGAGAAATAAAACTCTACCTTTATTCTCACAAAGCAGAGTAAGGATAGGTTCTGCAATATCATTCTCTGTTAGCAGGCGGAGGCAGGCAGGATGATTGACTAATCAATTGATTTTGATCACAGTAATGGCAGAGATTTCACTGTAATGGCCAAAACCACTGGATGGGAGCATTATTGCACAGCATTAAGTAAATGTTCACAATCCAAAGGTGATACTTTACCAATTTTATCCAAGCCCTGCCCCCTACCACCACTACAACCATTTTATACATTTCACTGGCGAAAAAAAACCCAGAAAGTCAATACTACTGCTGTCATTTTGCTTTACCTTGAATGAAAGTGTTAGGTGATATTAGCAAAAGAAGAGAGTGCGTATACTTGAATAGGTATGCCATCATATGGTGGTATCACAAGCTATTCAAAAGCAAAGGTTTGTATGTATGTGTGTGTATATGTACATATATATATATATATATATGTATGTTCATGTTCTAGACATCAGTGAAAGATATATATAAAAAAATACAATGTTATGGCTCCCTGTCAGCTGCTAATGGTGGTAGAAACCAAAGCAATGTTTGCATGTTTCGGGCAAGGTAGATTTTTTTTTTCTTGCTTTCATATTTATTTTAGCAATGGCATGTCCAAGGAGAGAAACACTGCCCTGTCAGATATTAGCCTTTGTGTCAGTTTATGCCGAGAAACTTTTCAAACCTTCCGGTATTTCTTTCTACATTTAAAGAAGAAAAGTCCTTACTGCACAGGTTTGAGTGTCTAAATCCTGCAGAATCTTCTTCTGCACTTGGAGTATAAAGCTTTTTAAGAATGCTCTCCTACACAAGTGTAAAATGGAGGCTGTAATTTTGTGATTTGCTAACTTCACTGAACTCAGTGCTAATATTTCCAAAATATTTGTTTTCTCCCCACAGCCACACACTGGACTCTTCTTTCTTCTGTCCATGTAATCTCCCTTCCCATCATTTCTGTTTCACCTTTTTGCCATCACCACTATTCTCTTGCTACTCAAGTGGCGCCAAGTCTCCTCTCTATTTCCCCAAACTGCTTTTTTTCTTCCTTTTAATAGGCCTTGTCTTTACCAGCGATATGACTGCACTTTCTGCTTTTCTTCCTGTTTCTCTACACATCTCCAAGTCATTCTAATCTAGGCTACATTATATGAATTAAAACATATCATTTTATAGCAAAATGTATTCTAGTGTGTTGGATGCTTCATTTATGAAAATTTGCAAGCTATGGAAAAAGAAAGAAGGCCAAAAATGTTAACCTCAGATCTCTCATATCAACAGTGTCTTTCGAAAAGATTCAACTCCAGTAGGAAACACAACGTTCGAGAGCTTTAGGACGTACTTGGAGCCTTCTCACTTTCATGCAGAATGGGATATAATGCTCAACGTTTAAAGAGCAGCATACTTATTTTTGGATTTGATGGTCTTCCTCAGTTTGGAATTCAGAAATTAAATGTTTCCCTGCTCTCTTACCTAACATGTTTTATTATTCTTTCTTACGTTCCTGATATTTATAGGGGTGTTCAGTCAGACTGAATTAGACAAAATCATTTGTGGAAAGGCATGCCGCTTAGTTTTCAAATGGTCGTATTTCAGCTATACGTATTTCAGATCACAGCACATGGGCTATCATTTAAAACTTGAAATAGGTAGAAAAAAAGGGACAACTCAGCCAGCTTTGATACTGAAGTTGGTATCTCTAACACAGACTGCACGCTTGTTACATGCGAGTGTGAAAACACAGGATTTGCAAAATATAGAAGTATTTTTAAAAACACTTACTTTCAAAAATATCAGATGTTCCTTGTAAAAGGAAGCTAGAGTGACAGCCAGAGAAGCTATTTCCTAATCAGGTGCTGCCTGTGCTGTACCCGAGCAGGGTAATCTCATTTGCAAGTAGGTGACCTATATGTCTGGACATACCTGATTATTTATTCAACTAATCAAATTATATTGTGTCATTTGACGATAGGATGTACACACTGCTGACACGATGTTATTTTTTGTCACCAGATAAGGGGAATTGATTCTGATCTATATTACTTTTGTTAGTCATCAACTCTTACACCTAGATGTGCCAAGGGAAGCATGAATGCATTTTGTGAAGTTCAATAGCACACATATCGTTAGGTCATAGTAAAGATACACGTTGTTGAGCAAGAAACAGCGACCATCGTCACTTGAGCAACTTTTTTTCTACGTACCAGTAGTTCAAGTGCCAAAGCACCCTTCCGTCCCTCTCCCACCAGCCAGCCTGATGTACTCGCACCGTTTTGCCTTTTCTTTTATTTTTTCCTTCTGTCATCATCTGGTTTTAGGAAAAGAAGAGAACATCGCATGTTAGACTGCGTCTGCTGAAAAACCTTGCCTCTTGTTATCCCCCAAAGCACTGAAATCTTAAGAATACCTTCTGTTCCCCTGTGTGCACTTGTGATGCCTATTTTATAATTAATTTCAAGTCGTGTGTCATAACCTGGACAAAAGGCTGTCCTTTTCTGCCTATTTCTTCTTCTTTTTTTTTTTTTTTTGATTGACTGATTTCATCCTCTAACAATATCTACTGCAAAGGTCAGTGAACAATTCTTTGGAGATGTCAGCGAAGGGTGGGGGGGGCTCATCGGGAGGGGGGTGTGCCTGTGTGACCCGGAGAGGAGCAGTGACTAAGGCCTCAAACGATCTCGATATTTACCACATCCTTTTCTCTCTCCCCCCCCCTCCTTTTTTTCCTCTTCCTTTTTTTTCTTTTTTTTGGACGACCCAGTACATTATTTCAGGGTGGGGTGGGGGGGAGGAGGAGCAGGGCGAGAGCAGTGAGGACGTGGTGGGAAGGAGGAAAGCTTTTGAAATATATAACGACGAGCCGCTCACCGAGCCAGCAGCGACTCCCGTGTGGCAA